TACGTGACAGATGGGCATCAGCTGAGCGAAGCGTTATAAAGAGTAGCGCTGATTCTAAGTTCTCTGGTCTGAATAAATTTTGCGATTAAATTCACTGATTTCATGTAATTATGGAATATTGTCACCAATTCCAAAGTGCTACCAAATTGTTTTTATATATATGTGACCCTTATTATAATCCGAGGGGCACGCGGTAGCGTAGTTGATTGAGGCATTACGCTACAAGCCGGAACGTCGCTGGATCGATACCCGATGAGGTCATTTGGTATTTGAATTACCTAATCCTTCCAGCCGCACTATGGTCCTGGGGTCCACTCAGCCTCTAACAGAAATGGGTACCAGAAATCTTCCTGGGGATAAAGACCGGCCGGCGCGTAAGATTGACAACCTCACCGCCATCTGTAAACCGATTGTCTAGAAAATGTGGGAGCCACCACGTCTCACAATTCTATAGGCCTCCACGGCCTGTTACACGGATAGCTTTACCTGTTTTTATTATATTCCGATAGTTCTTAACAATATCTGAAAAATATTAATTTAAAATAAAATATGGATAATCATTTGTCTTTAAAAGGTAAAAGGTAAAGTTGGCCCTGTGCTTAACTAATTAAATAAGACGACATGAAGACGTACGGGAGATCAGATGTATAGATTCACATATTCGTCTGTACAATGGGGGAACGCGGTAGCGTAGTTGGTTGAGGGGCTAAGCTACATGCCGAAAGGTGACGGGTTCAAGTTCCGATGAGGGCATTGGATATTTTTCAACTGACCTAATCCTTCCAGCCGCACTATGGCCCTGGGGTTCACTCAGCCTCTAACAGAAATGAGTACCAGGAATTAATTAAATTATTTTCCTGAGGAGTAAAGCGAGGCCGGCGCGTAAGGTTGAGAACCTTACCGCCATCTTTGACCCGATTGTCTAGATAATGTGGGACCCTCAGCGTCTCACAACCCTATGGGCCTTCACGGCCTGGTACAGGGATAGCTTTACTTTTTTTTATTAGCCTCGACAATAGATGGATGTGAGTGATCAGCTTCACGCCCCGGCCGCTTTACCCCCCGGGGGAAAGATCCCCAGTACGTATTATATAGGAGCCTGTGTGGACCCCAGAAACGTCTTAACGACGCAGAAAGATGAAAAATCTTTTCTTTACCGGGACTCGAACTCCGACCCCTCAACCGTACAACCCATAGCCAGTCACTGTACTGACTGCGCTATCCCTGCTCTATTTAGTTGTCTTTAGTCCTGCATATTTATATTTATTTTTATTTTTACCTCCCGCGTTACAATATGCTCACCCACCTCTTGCTTCATTTAAACAGCGTAACGAGCACAAATTATGTAATTTGATTTTTACTTTATTCTCTCCTCTTTCTTAGGCCCGAATTTTCCCACTTCATCTTGTTTTCAATCTTATCCAGCTTATGTTCTCTCAAGTTTCGCATTAACATGTAACAAACAAAACTAAAGCTGTCTGGCCTTTAGTCTTCAGCGTCTTAATATGAAGAGTTGGCAACGAGGCATAAACACTCCATCAATTATTGGATTATTTTACTTTTAAAACGATTTTCATAGATGGCTGTCATGTGAACAAAGCATGCACAGCCTCGGGCTGCAGATGTATTGAATAAATAGCCGCGGATAGCCGACTAGTGCTGGTTCTATATCTTGAGAAGTGGGTAGGGCTAAAACCTCTCAATGCAAACAAGAAGTTCTGGGAAGAGGTAATCGCCTATTTCCCTTTGATATGACACGGACCGCATAGAAAAATACGCGTACAATAATTCTTCTATTGTTGCCTGGGTAACATTTTTACCGAGTCGTTCCCTAGCAACATTAGGGGGATACAGATGTAGACACAGACCGATGGGACGAATTTATGAAGTAGGCCGCTGAGATGGGCTCAGGTGCCATCATTCATAAAAATTTTTTCAGACATTTGTAAGTTAATAGCGTAATTACACATACACACAGAGCGCACTGTAATCTCATAAGCCTACTTAATTTTTTTTTAATCTTAGGAAAGTAAGCTAAAAATAAACTAATAACCTATATTGCAAAAATGTTACAAGGGGCATCGGTGATAGGAATGAGAAATGTATGTAAAAATTCAGTCAGAAAACTTCAGGGGAAGCGACAGTTTCGGGAAAGCAGTCTTTGAAATTGGGGATGATAACGTTATATTTTATCTTAAAGAGATAGAATGTGAGATCCTAGAGTGGATTCTTCCGGCTCAGGATAGGATCCAGTAGCAGGCTGCTGTAATGAGCTTTTGGGTTCTGCAAAAAGTGTCAAGAAATTCTCCGCCTTATGTTACTGTGCAGCTCTACTTCACGCGGTTACTTTCAAAAAGCAATTCAGCAAAGTCTGCTCTTAAAAAGTATGCAACATATTTCGTGTCCCTAAGGCGCCTCCGCTCTCCTCCAAGATCAAAGCTTATTCGTTCGGATGGTTAAGCAATTCTGGCTGCGAGTAACATGCCGACGGCTGTTCAGTTCTTTGTGGTTCAAACTTTGGCATTCTTTGTTATCTAAGGGCCACGGAGTCATGTTCCGATTTCATAAAAGGCAAAACATGAATGAATACTGAAATGTAATTAAGCTTACCACTGATGGAACGTTTTTTTGAAAATATTCCACTTCCTGGCAATTATATAGAACATTTCAAGACAATGTAGGGTCTCAAGTTCTCACAGCCTTGGTTATGGACAGTTGTATCTTCTGGAATATGACGCCGTGTAGTCCGTTTAAAGGGCTCTGCTTTCCACCTGCTTTCACTTTGGTTTCTTGCTCGACTTATTCTTCGGCCCTGAAGATGAGGGTAACGTCCCTCTGAAACGTCGGGTTATCACTCTAAACCTAGTCTCGCTTATATCTCAGCACGGACCACTTAGAAAACAAAGCCCTTCTTTCTTTGTAGTTTAACTGTTGCATTATTAAGAATATGTTGCCTAGAAATGGACGTTATTCCATTGTTAATTTCGCTGTCGTTGTCTAGAAACGAATGTTGCTTTAGAGCCGTTTGACGATCCAGTTCCATTTTTAGTAAATAATAATAATTAATATATACTCCTTCCTGCTATGATAACATATGAAGAGTGATCATAATTTACGGACCGGCAATTGACTGCGGACCATCGTTTAATAAGCACTGTTAGCAGAGAACAAGGGCATCGATATTTTCATATACTCGTATATTGTAAAACAGTGAAATGCCTTCCACACATTAAAATTCTGTATGACACCACAGCATTCTATTCTCATTGCTATGAAGAGGCATCAGTAAATCTGCCATTCTCGTATTCAGAAATGAATCCTGTTTACACCTAAGCAGCACCTGTGTACCCAGTAACAAAGGTATGGCCGACACGTTTCGATGTCATGTCCAGACTTATTTATGTGTCTGACCAGTGACCTAGAAAATGTAAATATATGAAATCAGTTCGCACTTCTGACGGCACCGAACACTTCTATCAAAACCATCGAGATTAACGCGATTGGTATAGCAACTGGCTACAGGCTGGACGACTGAGGGGTCGGATTTCAAGTCCCGGTAGGGTCAAGAATTTTCTCTTCTCCAAATCATCCACACCGGCTCTGGGGTGTACCCAAACTCCTAACCAATGTGTACCGTGGGCTCTTTCACCGGGAGTAAAGCGACAGGGGCGTGAAGCTAACCACTCACCTCCAGCTAGTGCCGAGGTCAAGGAAATGTGGATCTACACATCCACTCCACCATACACCTTCATGGTGTAGTGCTTAATTTGTTGAGCACAGGAACAACTTTAACCGAGATGTATCGCTACGTCCCTCTTAACTTATCTGTGGTATATTAAACGATACTGTCCACATCTCGAAATTTATAGCATCGATTCACTGAGTAAGGAATAATGGATCAGAAAAGTTGTCGTAGAGGCACGCATTGTTACGTCAAGCGTAGGAATGAGAAGCACTGCCACTTAAGTAACTTGCTCTGTGTCGCGTTCTACAGCTTTACCTCAGCTTCCAGACATAACAGGGGGCACTATGGTAAAACTAGGCATTAGAGGACACGACGTTTCGGAAACTAGATGTTTCCGTCTTCAAATGAGAAAGAACTACTCAGTTTGGCCCCTTAGAAAGAGCTAATATCAATCACTGAACAACTCCTGTTACATTTAGCTCTTTCTAAGGGGCCCAAATGAGTAGGTGTTTTCCTTTCTCACCTCTCCTGTATTACCTAGAATTCCGGGCGATGGAAAAAGGTAAAAAAAACCCAGTAATTTTGTGTGTCATCCACCATCGTCAGAACCCTTTATAATCTACTATGGTACAAGCCAGAAGGTTGCGAGTTCGATTTCCGCTGAAGTCACTGAATTTTTTTTTTTCAATTAACCTAATTCTTCCAGCCGCAATATGGCCCTGGGGTCGACTCGGCCTCTAACAGAAATGAGTACCAGGAATATTCTTGGGGGGTCAAGGGCGGCGGGTGCGTAAGGCTGATAACCTCACCGCCATGTGTGTGCGGATTGTCTAGATAGTGTGGGAGCCTCGATGTCTCACAACCCTATGGGCCTTCACGGTCTGTTACATGGATAAATTTACCTTTTATATAAATAATATGTAATGTAAAAGTTTATGACGATGGTACATTTATACAAATATTATGTTTTTTGGATATTATCCATCGTCTTGTCTTTATCTAAAAACCGTCCTGTATATTTTTCAAAACATGACGTTTCAGAGACTGGATTCTGTCTCCGGAGGTAGGGACTAACTCTGTGGATTGCGCCGAACTGTGTAAGTTTTACCTGAAGACGGAGACAGAATCCAGTCTCCGAAACGTTGTGGATAATGTCCAAAAACATCATATTTTTACGTTTTATATATTTTTTCCATGTAATTCAGTCACGATTTGGTCGATATTGTGGCTCCATTAGACACTGGGTTTGTTCACAGGCTACCAGATTTCCTATAACAATGACAGCTTATCCGGGCGATTGGTTATTTGTTCACAGGAGCAACGTTTACAATCCTGACTCTACTATCCAGCCTCAACAGCTGCGTGAACCCATGGATTTACCTTGCATTCAACAGAGAATTGGTGCGTCTCCTCAAACAACAAATGAAATGCAAAGGGCGCGAGACATCGAGCTACCGGGGCGGATCCGGAGGCAGTGGGTCCTCCACCGGTACACCCGGAGACACGGTACTGTACAAGAGAAAGAGTTTCATGAAACATACAAATTCAGTCGTCGTGACGAAGACAACGTTAACAGAAGTTAATTCCTGCCGCCGAATTGGATCCGTTGGTAGCAGATCTTCGGTAAACAGCATGAGGGATGGCGTAGCAGGACCTCGCCGCCTATCTCAACTTGCCAGCTCTATTTTCATCAGGAACTCTGCCCTCACTGCGGCTGCGTCAACCTGTTGTCGTGTGGAATCAGATGATAGCGACGTACCTAGGAATACTTTCAGATATGACACTGCTGGACCCTACCGGGGGCTCAGCAGGGCAGGGGCTATCAGGAAGAAGATGAATATTGAAGAAGCAAATAATGTTAGGTTGGGGAGTGAAAGTGCTGTGGACGTTACTAAGGGAAGGAGATATTATGCTTATTCACTTACACCTACGGAGAGAAAAACTTCATGTGGAAATAGAATGATGGAGGATGCAGATCCTGCGGAAGTTGATGTTACAGGTCAGGTTATGGCGCTACTACACGGTGAACCGGAAGGAGGACGTCGAATGCAAGTCCAGTTCTGACACAGAGCAAATTATGTACCTCAAGAAATAAACGTTTCGGTTACCACGTTTCTCTAGGTGATGGTACAGTCAACGACAAATTGTGACTCCGTGTGTACAGTTTCAGCTGCTATCAGAAGTAAGTTTCTGTGATTGATGAAGAGCTAACAGCATATTGTGACACTGTATGGAGTGACAGTTATTTCCTGAATTAATTTTCTGTGACAGACAACATCCAACTGTATCCTATTAAACTTAAAAAAAAAATAAGATTGACCAATAGACAACTTACATCGTGCTCGACTACCCTGAGATTTTAGTAAATGCAAATGAACTTTTTTCCTGTAAAAGTTTATAAGTATAGCAAAACCAAAAGCTGACCAAACACTGTCGCATTTCTGCTGTTCAAATGTACTTTACTTCCATGTTTCCTTATTAAAAAAAGAAATATATTCCCTAATGACTGACTGTTTCCAACATGCAAGTTTTATTCGATATCTCCAATACACCACAATAGTCTCTTCATATAATTCTAAAATTATATGTTCCTATAGACACAATACGATTATATTATATTATATTCCACGGTTACAACGAATTGTTCGAAGCGTTGTAACCGTGGAAACTCGCTGTTAGAACTCAAATGCTGCATTCCATCCCGCTGTCTAGGAAATGTTATTCGTTGACTAGGAACGAACGCTGAAATATGCTCCATAGTCCTGCTTTTAGGCAGCACGTCACAATATTATCTGAAGATAAGCTGTTTTAACAGACGTATTAAATTGCAAGAAAATAATTTCTCGATCGAACTGTAGCGATTCTAGCACATGAATTACTCTGAATGATTGGTTCAAGGACGGTAATTTGTAAAGAGGATGCAAATTTCTCCCAAAACGCTGCTATAATATAAAACTTTCATGAAGGAATTAAGTCAGTAACGTAAAGCACTATCCTTTGCTCAGAGAATTGACAATACGGACGTCAGAAAAATCATTGTTCTCAAGTTACTTGAAAAATTATTCATGCTCTGATATGAGTCTTTAATTGCTTTTGCTTGATGTTGTGAGTTCATACAGTTATTAAAGACATGCACGTTTGTACACTTATTTGTGCTACACTTTGAACCTACTACCTTACGTGAATATATTGCCTAAGCCGTAATTATTCTGACAGTTGTGCTTTATTCCTCCTCCTCTGGGTCTAACTGTAAGCCGATGATTCCTACCGAATTTTTACCCCATCTTTTAAGGACTAACAGTCCTGACACGGAAGTTTTGGTTTCGTACTAAGTGTCGAGAAATCGATTCTGAATAAATTATTCACTTCAGTAGTGGAAATGTGCAAGACTTGGAACATCGGTAATACAGGTCATTTCTCGGGCAATGAATTTATAACAAATTCCTCCTTGAAAGTTCAAATCCCGAAACTGTCTCATAATTTTAATATCTGCACAAATTATGTGTGCAATTTCAGTTGTACAGTCAAGAAATCTATTTAAGAACATTCGAATATCATATTCTTCTAGCCTCGATGTGCTAGCATGATTTTAATTTTTAGTCATGTTTAATAAAGTCCTCTCATATAAAACTGGATTCCATCTCCGTGTACAAAATACAAAGATCCGAGATATTTTGGAAGACTTAGGAGCAGATGGGGGCACGCGGTAGCGTAGTTTGTTGAGGCACTATGCTACAAGCCGGAAGGTCGCGGGATCGAATCCCGATTAGGTGGATTTTTTCAACTCACCTAATCCTTCCAGCCGCATTATGGTCCTGTGGTCGACTCAGCTACTAACAGAAATGAGTACCAGGAATATTCCTGGAGGTAAAGGGCGGCCGCCGCGTAAGGCTGACAACCTCACCTCCATCTGTGAGCTGATTGTCTAGAAAATGTGGGAGCCTCGACGTCTCACAATCCTATCCTATCCTGTTACAGGGATAGCTTTACCTTTTTAGGAGCTGATAGGCGGGTACTGTTAATTAGATCTTAAACAAATATGATCAGATGTTAAGGACTGGATTCATCTGGCTCAGTGTAAGGACCAGTGATGGGCTCTTGTGAACGCAGTAATGAAACTTAGGGATTCATAGAAATTTGAGAGTTTCTTAACTATGTAACACACTAATAGTTTCTCAAGGGCTCCGCTCCATGTAGTTAGTTTTTGTGGTTATTCAGTTAATTAGCTAGTCAGCTAGTTAGCTGGTCAGTCAGTTGGCTAATCGGCTGGTCAGCCAGTCAGTCAGTTGGCTAATCGGCTGGTCAGCCAGTTAAGTGGCCTTTAAAACCGAGGTCGAACAAACTTATTCATACTGATATGTTAGGTTTTTGGACTTTATCCATCGTTCTGGTTTTTAAGATAACAAATAAAAACACGACGTTTCGGAAACTGGATCTGTTTCCGTCCTCAGGTGAAGGAAAACCCTATTCAGTTGGGTTGGGTTGGGACGATGGATGAAGTCCAAAAACCTAACATATCAGTGTGTTAGACACCATCGTCAGAATCCTATAGTAAAAACTTATTCATGTTAACGGCTACCTAACAGAAGTTTAACGAAAGTCTGCGAAAAGATTTAACGGATATATTTAAAGCCTCCTTCAGTCTTGAAATAAAATAATCCTTAAAGTGAATAAAATTAAATAAAGATCGAATTGGTCCGACAGAAACTGGAGCACGTCCACCATACTGAGCTTCAATTACATCGATCCAAAGGTGGGACGTCAACCGACTTCCGACGATGACCCTATTATTTTCTCACTGTCACAGTGAACTGGAGCTGAAATTTCCTCACCCCTGTTCTAGAGATTTCCGGTACATTACCTTAAATTAGGCAGCGACCTCTGGCCGTCACCTCGCCCTGACATACAGTCTGGCATGTACTTTACACATGTCAGCTTCACTTCTTGAACGTCGGCTGTTATCAGTGACAGCAGAATCGCTTAGGCTCCGAGACACGTGTTTCTGCATGGAAAGCCTTTCTACTCAGTGTGGGTGCGTGTTTCTGTGTTAGTAACGCAAATATGAACAATGCTGTATCAAGTCTCCCATGCTTCGCCTCGTGAGTCAACTTGGGATAAATAAACATTGTTCACGCCAGTAGATTATGGTTAGGAAAGTGGGGAACGTAAACAAGTTCAGGTAAAGCATCACTATTCGTATTATGGATATCAGACAGATTACGTCAAACAACGTCGTTGTTCTAGAAAGTTCTCCGCAAATAGAAATACTGGTAATAGTGGATAAACACGCAACAAATATCAGTATACACATACAAAAATGCACAGATAAACGCCGAGGCCTGTAGTCCGCAAGCGAACTATACCGGCCGAGCGACAGCCACTTGACGAATTTAGTACCAACTTTTGCGGATAAAGGATGTCACGTGATCAGCTCAACGAATTCCCACGGCCGTTAATCTCGGTATTCTAGACCGGAGCCGCTATTTCCTTGAAACAGCTCCTCAGTTATCCTCAGGACGCTGAGTGGACCCCGTTTCGGACCCACTACTTCTCAGAAAATCTCTGGACCTCTGGATCTGTAGCCAGGAACTCTGACCACTAGACCGTAGAGGCGGTCAATAATGCACAAAGCATTTATTTATAATTTAATTATGCTAATCTAAAACGAAGAAAAGGCATCGTTAAATAAAAACAGTAACGTCACTCTGTGGTCTAGTGGTCAGAGTTCCTGGCTACAGATCCAGAGGGCCCGGGTTCAATTCCCGGCACTACCAC